GATATATATGTCTTTTATAAAACCGCAGCGTTCATATACAATAATAAATATTTTCAAGTGTTATTTACTTTTCACGATATTGTAAGATTTTAGTTTTAAAGAAAGTAGTAGAATTATTTTATTTAATATATTTTGTACACACAGCTGTTAGAAAAAAACACGACAATAAGGATACAGAGTACAAGGGCACTACTTATTTCATGTTGAAATCTCTTCTAGTAGGCTCGCAAATGGAAAGAAGAATTAGGGACACAAACCAAGTGCATACAGTAAACATTACATATAATAATATATACATATTACAAGATACAAAACAATATATATAAATACAAATACGCACACACACACACACACACATATATATATATACATACACACATATACTTACTTTATATTATAATACATTATACAAATATAACATTTTCTTCGTTGAAAATGTGCGTCAGTTTAACTAGCCTGTTTTTCAATGGAATGTTTTCAATATTGTACGCTTTCTAATATCAATCGTTCACAATCGAACATCGATTTGTTCATATGCAATTTTTATATAATAAATGTAACATATTATTTTAATTGGTATTAGCATAAAGAATGATGTAATTTTATACATATTCATAACCAGATGTGGCCGGCGGTTACGCCGTCCTCAATTTGGAATTCAAAAATAATGAAACATATTGCATTTGTCGCCAATAAATGCATATAATACTTTTAGTTAAATAAATACATGCGACACACAGTTTACATGTTTCTAAGAACTAATTTGTTCCGTTGCGGTGTTGTGGAGATATTTGAATTATATTTATTAGCAAAATGTTTTTGTAAAAGGTTAACAGCAACGGCAGTAACAGGATCGCAAAGGATTAGGTTTCCGCATCAGGAATACTGAGCTTGGGGGCTGGAATTTGGAATCGCATATACCTAAGGTAGGTAGGTAGGGTAGGTACCAGCACCCTGCCTATTTCTGCCGTGAAACAGTAATGCGTTTAGGCTTGAAGGGCGGGGAAGCCGTTGTAACTATACTGAGGAGATCTTAGAGCTCATATCTCAAGGTGGGTGGCGTATTTACGTTGTAGATGTATTGGGCCCCAGTAACCACTTAACACCAGGTGGGCTGTGAGCTCGTCCTCCCATCTAAGTGATAAAAAATAATAATAATAACAAGTCTGGTGTCAGCGTCGGGCTTAAATGGATTATGTTAATTAAATAGATAGTTCAAATGAATAATATATCTACAATTGAACTTTTGCCTGTTGCGCAGTTTCATTCAAAAAAATCAGAACAAAATAATAACATATATATTATTTACTTAATTAATTAATTTTTAATACTTAATTTTTCTAATGAAATACGTACTCAACAAATGTTCACGATTGACTTCCACGGTGAAGGAATAACATCGTGTAATAAAAATCAAACCCGCAAAATTATAATTTGCGTATTTACTGGTGGTAGGACCTCTTGTGAGTCCGCGCGGGTAGGTACCACCGCCCTGCCTATTTCTGCCGTCAAGCAGTAATGCGTTTCGGTTTGAAGGGTGGGGCAGCCGTCGTTACTATACTTGAGACCTTAAAACTTGTATCTCAAGGTGGGTGGCGCATTTACGTTGTGGATGTCTATGGGCTCCAGTAACCACTTAACATCAGGTGGGCTGTGAGCTCGTCCACTCATCTAAGTAATAAAAAAATAAAATTACTGCAAAAGGATCTCGAAGGGGATATTCGATTATAACAAAATTCATTAAATTTCGAAAAATAAACTTTCTATTACGCGGCCTAAATAAGCATATACGTACGTACGTATTGTGAGCGAATTGTATCGTATGAATGAGATGAGACTTACTGGCGGCTACACTGTACTGTGTTATTGTTTGTAAATCAGTTTCTCAGAAGTTTGGTGTGCGATTTCTAATGCGCGAATGTCATTTGTTATCGGTATTAGATTTTAATGGTTTTTATCGGTACGCGAGTTTTATTGTAATACTTTGTTCATTCGAATAAGGCCGTAAGTACTATTCGGTACAGTTTTGCAATTGAGCTTATGACTGATTGTTTTGAAATGAGAATCGATATTAAGGATCTTTAACAAATAACCATATAAAACTAGATAGTTATAGTTAGTTATTTAGATTTATTTACTTAGTTAGTTATATAGATAGATAGTTTGGTTATCCTTGAGTTTCTCGCCGGATCTTCTCAGTGGGTCACGTTTTTTTTCATATTTATTTTTATTGCTTAGATGGGTTGACGATCTCACAGCCCACCTGGTGTCAAGTGGTTACTGGAGCCCATATACATCTACAATCCCCTCCCACCTTGAGATATAAGTTCTAAGGTCTCAAGTATAGTTACAACGGCTGCCCTACCCTTCAAACCGAAACCCATTACTGCTTCACGGTAAAAATAGGCAGGGTGGTAGTACCTACCTGCGCGGACTCACAAGAAGTCCTACCACCAGTAAAAATGGGAATCGATATTGACGATTTTTAAGAAGTACAACTAACCATATAAAACTAGATAAGTTTGTTTATCCTTTGTAACACACTGAGTTTCTCGCCGGATCTTCTCAGTGGGTTGCGATTGCAATCCGATTCAGCGAAGCACCGCCCTTGCTAGGGATAGTGTTAGCAAATTCGGTGATCCTAGTATAACCCCTCGAGGTTATTAGGATAGGTAAGAAAAAAATCCTTTGCAGCAATCAAATAACGTACTACGAGGATCTCTTTGAGGGAGCGCCGCACTGTATCTCCCCACCCCCGCGCGCTTTTCCACAGAGTAAGGGCTTTGTCCTCTCGGAGTTCTTTTCGATGGGTTTTGAAGCGACTTTTTGAGTCCGTGCATGACGACATCTCAGCTCCAAAGGGTGGCAATTAAAAAAAAATAGTTTAAAAAAACTTCGATATTATTGAAATTATAATTCTTCTACTCATATCTGTCAGAAAAATATTTATAACTAATAACGCCATGCACCCCACGCTTTTTTTACAATCAAATGTATATTTTTTTATACTATTTTCAATTTAAATTTATTAATATTTATTTTCTATTTTTTAGTTGAATTTCAATTTTTCATATATATTTTTTCAATTTCTTTTTTTTAATATTGTATTGTCATCGGTCCTCGATAAATCTACAAATTTTGAACGAAATCTGGCCGTTTAAAGTGGGTCAAAATCGCGTCTAAAGGAGTCAGTTACAAACATACATACAAGTGAAGCTTATATAAAGCGTGTAATAATAGTATTTAAATTGAATGCTGACTTTGTTAACTATTCATCCACGTCTTCGCTACGCTTGCCGCGTATCTTCGATATTTTCTGGTGGTTACATCTGATGGAGTGCCGGACGAAAATGCGGTAGAGTTCAGATAAGGCATCGAGTGGAAATGGGTCGCTCACGTACTTTTCAAAGCTTTCGTCCTCAACATATCAGGCGGGGTCCAGTACTTGCTTGAAGCAGGAAGCGTCGGGAATGCACGGGGCGAAATTGAATTCGATGCTTAGATCCATCCATCGCAATGAAGAAGCATCGTGTATGGCTTTCGTCCTTCCTCGGGTCACAAAGTAGCTTTAATGTCTACGAAACCGTATCTGTATCGAAAGCAATGTGTCGTCTCACAGAAGTACCGAGATAATTGATTTACGTATGATGTATGTAAATTTTTGTAACTGTTCAAAAGATTTATCCATTGTCGGTATGTACATAAATGACCTTTCGTTTATCTTCAAGGAATCCATGTGAGTAACGGTGCGGCGTCATGATGTTGCCATAATAATAATAAATCCGCAATATTGTGCGCATTGTGAGGAGGTTTCTCACTCTGGAGTTTTTTTTTCCTACCTATGCTTATGATAGCTTTGAGACGCTATTTCAGCTTCACCCTAACGTGTATAGGTGAGCTCACGGGGCTCAAACCGGAGAGTTGCTAACACTGACCCTAGCAAGAGCAGTGCTTCGCAGAATCTACCACCGGATCGGAAACGCGACCCACTGAGAAGATCCGGCGAGAAACTCAGTGGGCTGTGTCTATGGGTTAATTCGCTCGTCGAGCCCTTCATCGCAAGCGACGGGTTCGACGAGGACGGTGACCATTCTGGAGTCCTAACCACTGGTCGCTTGTGACGTAGACACCGCCACCAGCAGCAATCTGTTTTTATATAGTGTTTTTTCCAAATTGTACATTTCATATATATTTTTTTAAATATTGTGTAATTAACAAGATTTTAAATAAATATAGATTTTTTTTTTTTTTTTATTTCCTTTGTAGGCAAACGAGCATACGGCCCACCTGATGGTGAGTGGTTACCGTCGCCCATGGACTTCAGCAATGCCAGGGGCAGAGCCAAGCCGCTGCCTACCGCTAAAAGAATAATAATAGAATAATAATAATAAGCCTTTTTATTTCTTGTTTTACAATCTCAGGTGGATATACTATATTAGATTAAACAACAAGTTTGACTTTTATTAGTAATTTAGTTTAAATTATGTTAGTAATATAATATACGTGTATTAAAATAATTGTAAATTAACCCGAGAAGAGAAAGATTAAGAAGTCCCGGTTTGGGTAAAGTACTCCTTTGCCCATTTTTGTCTGTCTTGTGCTATGAGGTGCCAAATATTGCCATACTGTCTACTAAACTCGAACAGAATGTTTCAAAAAGTCAAGTTTTAATTTCAAAAATCTCAGTATAAGATTTTCATTTTACGGTTCACAAATTATTATCATTATAAACAAAAACAAACAAAAAAAAATCGTATACTAATAGTTTTTGATTGTAGTTTTAATAACAATTATCACGTGATAAAACAAAATTACAACATCCCAAAATGATTTTAAATTGTTGACGAAATCACTTAATTGACGGGCGCGAGAATAGCGTACGTCATATCTTATACGTACTGGTTCGAAACATCATATCACTTATCAGTCGCTCAGAAAGTTACGAGAACAACAATGCGTTATAAAACAAGAAGTGTGGACTAAATAACGCTTCAGTCCGCGAGAGCACATCGCAAGGTCAAGAACGAGTGGGCTCTTTGGTACTGGCTGAAAGGAGCACAGCGCGACACGACTTTATTATTTAAAAAAAAAAAAAAGAGGAATAAAATATTTTTTAAATACAATTCGAGATTCAAAAATACGAATCGTGTGCGAGAGACGCACGTGCGCGGACGCGTCTTAATAACAACTAAAAAGTAACAATTGTGTCAGTCGAAGCGATCTATTTCGCAATTTCATTTATAAAAAATTGCGCTAAAGCCCTGTGATTTTTTAAAAAAATAAATACACATGTTCATTCATATTGTGTACAATTAAATCGTTAAGTTGGGTGACTACGGGAATTTCGTTGAGTGAGTATATTTATTAATATCTATTTATAAAATATATATTAAATACTTTACGTAGATAATAGCGGTATTTACAAAATGAGATAAATAATTATTAGATGAAGTAAAATACAAAATAAAATAAATAGTAAAGATTAAATGAAAACAAAAGCTAGAATGTCAAGATATATAATTCAGATGTAGATATACTTATATACCCTTGAGTATGGTCCCATTAAAGGGTGATCGAGTTATGGCCAGCTATGGCAGACCGTGAGAAAACTTGAAGGATCTACGAATTCTCAATATATAACATTAATTTTGTTATATATAAAATTTTGCAGTAGACAGCGGCTTGGCTCTGCCCCTGGTATTGCTGAAGTTCATGGGCGACGGTAACCACTCACCATCAGATGGGCCGTATGCTCGTCTGCCTACAAGGGCAATAAAAAAAAATGCATACGACATTCTTGCTCATACGAATCTATCTTTTTCTGAGCTATTTCATTAAGCATAGAATTGTGAGCATCGAATTAAATTTTCCGTCATTTTGGCGAATCGCAGATTTCAATAAATCAAATGAAAACACTTTTAGTCTCTGAAGGCCTCCACACGCTTCGTCGTAATAACGCGGTTGATCGCTAGTAAAATAAAATCTATGTGACCGCGCCCTCAGAGGAGCGATTAGCTGGCGACCACCTTTTAGTCATTAAATTTAATTTTTGCAATCATTCATGACGGAATATACAAAAAACAGTCGGTACCGGCTTGCGGTAGGCAGCGGCTTTGCTCTGCCCCTGGCATTACTGAAGTCCATGGGCGACGGTAACCACTCAACATCAGGTGGGCCGTGTGCTCGTCTGCCTACAAGGGCAATAAAAAAACATACATATAAATGAACATGTTCTAGAACATCCAAAATATCCACGCATTTATCGTATATGTACGTCATTACGTATTATTATTCCCGCCAAAATATTATATCTTACACTTCGAATATCAACTGAAACGGATAAATGTCAAATTTGAGCACTTGTGTTTTTAATGATATACTTAATAAAATTTGTTATAATGTAATAAATTGAGAACTATTTATTTTAGATCTTATGAATTCAAAACCGCTTTTAGTTTGGCGTGTTCTACAACTGTGCACAGAAAATTATATTATATAATATATTGCAATATCATTAAGAGTGCTTTTATGGTTTCATCTTGCGTTTTTTATTTCGCACGTCTCGAGAAACACAGAGGTTTCGGTCACGGGCGATTAAGACGTTACTGAACGATATTTTAATGATGTGGTTTTGATATCGTCGGAAGTTCAAAAAAGTTAAAAATAAACGTTAGATTAAAAAGAAGTACTTTTGATTTCATTTGCGTCACAAATAAACCGACATATTATATGCTAAATATTAAAGTTAATCGGAAAGTCATTTTTTACGATTTCAATGAGCACCGAGCAATGATACTTTGTCTAGTTTCGCTTAATTATTGTTATTGGTATGAGGTACCAACAACAATTGTAACAATTTTAAACTGAACTCTAGAATGGATGCGGGGCAAAAACTATCCAAATTTTTTATGCATATATCAGATGTGTGTTGAAGCAGTCGATAATAGATAATACAATTTATACGTTGTCAATGATGTTGTGATAATTTATTGATTATTATTAGGGACTTTTTGGCGGGAACGCGAGGAGTGAAGTTGTGTGATTTGTTTTATTTTGTCTTTTTAGTGTTTTTTCAGGTTTAAATGTGTAATAACGGTGGTTTATTAACCGTTTAATATCTGTGAAAGAGCACAAATGTGGGAAAATGAAACAAAGCCGCTGGACGTAACTTCTCGGGGTCCTCCAAAAAGTCCACTGAAAAAATCTCAGTAAATTACCACCATTTTACTAAGATTATATTTCATCCCATATCATCTCACCTCATTTCATTTCATTTCATTTCACTCCATATTATCATTTTTCATAAAACTAAAAATATAAATTAAAATAAGATATGACTTAAAGGTCTTAATTACCAAGTCATAAAATCTCTTAAAAAAATTGACTATTTTTAGTTTGGCCGACGGTGGCTTGCTCGTCATCTACCGGCGTATCTATCAAGCAATAAGATGTCTAAATTAATCATGAATGAAAATAGTAGATGGATTCTTTGTATGTAGTTCGGAAAACGCTTTTGCTCCGTTATCGTGCGCCAGTGACGTACATCACAACGTCACACATGTAGGTATGTATTTATCCGGAATAGCTGAAACTCTTCCAAGCGGATGTTTATCAGATGTTTATTGACATGTTTTGCGTTACATACACGAACCAATGGTGCGATAGTTTATATCTTCTCTTGTTAGTAATGAGCTATCAATTATTTAGGCTTCATTTAACTTAGTGGTGGTAGGACCTCTTGTGAGTCCGCGCGGGTAGGTACGCCTATTTCTGCCGTGAAGCAGTAATGCGTTTCGGTTTAAAGGGTGGGGCAGCCGTTGTAACTATACTTGAGATTTTAGAACTTATATCTCAAGGTGGGTGGCGCATTTACGTTGTAGATGTCTATGGGCTCCAGTAACCACTAAAAACCAGGTGGGCTGTGAGCTCGTCCACCATGTAAAGAATAAAAAAAAATTTTTTTTTTAAGGACAATGACCTGTACGTATTGTTTTTTTAGATCAAATGATCACATAATAGATTGGTACGTTCATTGTGTTTGATCTTGAACCGCGCTGTTTATTTATTGTGCTCGTGGCTTAGGTATTTGTGTTTGTTTGCCAGAGAAGTACTCACGATTAGCTAATTAAAATATTGCAGATTTATAAAATCTAAACGCGACTGCAGAGCGATTGCTATTCCTGACTTCAGTTAGGCCATGTGTGAGCCTCTACGCTGAAGTGCTTATTAATTAAGCTTTAGATTTTGACAAAAACAGCGTTATTTTAGACAAAGTATTACACATTACATTTACTGGCGGTACGACATCTTGTGAGTCCGAATGGTACGTATCACCACCCCGCCTATTTCTGCCGTGAAGCAGTAATGCGTTTCGGTTTGAAGGGTGGGGGACAGCCGTTGTAACTATACTGAGACCTTAGAACTTATATCTCAAGGTGGATAGCGCAATTACGTTGTAGATGTCTATGGGCTCCAGTAACCACTTAACGCCAGGTCGGGTGTGAGCTCGTCCACTCATCTAAGCAATAAAAAATAAATAGATTATCAACTCATGACTTCGTAGAAACGACAAAATTCGATATAGCATACACACATGCATATTTGTTCAGTTTTAATTTCTGTATTTCTTTTTATCAAGAAATAAATTTGCATCCCATTATATGTTATTGAATAATAAACTAAACCGAATACGAACTACGAAGAAGATAGCACACGCCGAATTCGTGCGTTGTCTGACAATGTTTTGACGCGACCCATGACTCATCATCTATACGGCAATAATTAAATGAGCCTCATTAACATTTCGTGAAGCTTTCGCGGGTCATAAAGGTGTTTAATATTACTGCGACGAATAAAACCGATCATAGCGAGACGATACTCAAAATCACAAAAACAATGTAATTATTACGATCGGTCAATGGCATCACGCTAAGACCATAATGTGTCGTATGTGCCGAATAGCGATTATCTATCTTCTATCTATATATATAAAAATGAATTGCTGTTCGTTAGTCTCGCTAAAACTCGAGAACGGCTGGACTGATTTGGCTAATTTTAGTCTTGAATTATTTGTGGAAGTCCAGAGAAGGTTTAAAAGGGAGATAAATTTGAAAATGCTCGGAATTAAATAAAAATAACAATTTTGTTTTCCCTTTGATGTGTCCCCCGTCGGACGGAATCCTTTTGTGTGTTTTAAGTTTATTTTATACAAAAGTTTAGGTATTTTACTTATCGATTGAAGTACTACGAAGTCTGCCGGGTCAGCTAGTTTTTAATAAAGATACTGACTACGATTGGGAATGGGAATGTAAGCCTGTCAATCGCCAAGACAATAAGACGATCTCAAAAGAGCGCAGATATTCATTTTTAAGGCGTTTTCGTCCGCCCTATATCAGATGCTTAATTTTTAAGGGATTTTATGACCTGGTCACTAAGACCTTTAAGGTCATGTGTTTTTTATTTTTGTATTTTAATCTTTATTCTTATTTTTATGAAAAATAATAATATGGAGTGAAATGAAATGAGATGAGATGATATAGGATGAAAAATAATCTTAGTAAAATGGTGGTCATTTACTGAGATTTTTTCAGTGGATTTTTTAGAGGATCCCGAGAACTTACGTTCAGCGGCTTTGTTTCATTTTTGCACTTTCACAGATACTAAACAGTTAATAAGCCACCGTTATTACACATTTAACCTGAAGAAACACTAAAGAGATAAAATAAAACAAATTACACAACTTCACTCCTCGCGTTCCCGCCAAAAAGTCCTAAATCAGTTGCCAACATCGGCAGACGGATGTCAATGCATTGTCAAAATGCACACAGAGGTTTAGTTAAATAAATTTTAATAAATTTGAATTAAAAATAGTGTAAGAAATATTGATTTTATTGTAAAAAAGCGTGGGGTGGTCTTTTCAGGATATTATAAAAATAACCCTTCTACTCATATCTGTTCATAAAATATTTATAACTACTGATACACAATAATGATATATAAGTATACCAAATTTCGAGTTAATCCGATGTTTTGAATTGGTCAAAATCATGTTCAAAGATTCCGTAACAAAAAAAAACATACATACGTCTGAAGCTAATAAAAGCGTATTAAAAATATTGCGTTTATTACTTATAACTGGTGTTGAGTGGTTATCGAAGCCCATACAGATCAATAGCGTAAATGGAGACATTTCTTCGCGGTAGAACTAGACAGGGTGGCGGTATCTACCCGTGCGGACTTAGTAGACGCCCTACCATTACACGTCCTTACGGATCCATTAGATCCAATAACTCTTGCATTAGATACCTTCAGCTCTAACACTAGGAGCAGGCTGAGGAACCCCGGTAACCGT